CTGGCTGTGATAACCCTGTACTGCGGTATTAAAAAGCATGTAACAAGCTCTGGAGGCTCTTGTCACACATGAACACAAAGGACATTCAGAAGAATACTCCTGCAATTACCTACAGACCTTTTCCACCATTTGTTTTTTCCCCCCCACATGCACTTCACAGTGAGAGGCTTTCTGCTGCAGATGCGCTCTCACAGCATGATAAACGAGTGAAGAGGAGGAGCTCATGTCCACAAGGCTTAGGAGAAAGGCTATCAAGCAGATGTATAGCATGTAAAAAATATATTTTCTTAGCAATATGATGAAATCTGTGAGTGGGGCTCCCTTTAGAGAGCAATGAAATCTATAAACAGAGACATCATTTATCAGAAGAAACCTAAAATGTTTATCAATGCTCTGCAGGTTCGCATACAGTGCTCCTTTCCGTTTACTTTTCAGGACCGGATGAAACATTTGACCAATAAGGTGAGCGATCCAGTAAATCATGAAATATCTCATATTAGAGTGGTCATTGGAAGTTAACGGGGCCACATTTTGTAATGCAAAGACGGAAATCTTTCTGCCTCATACTGAAATCCCTTTCAACTTAAAACTGGAGCAAAAACTTGTTCTGAAGCAGCTTGTGGTTTATTCTCGGAGCTTCATGTTCATTGCTATGAGTCCATCAGCATCCCACATCTTCACTTGGCAGGAAGTTGTTTAAAATGTTTTCCCTTTTGTCTTTCTAGTGGACAATGTTTTTTCAGGCAAAACCAAAGGATGGACAAAGAGCAACCACTGAACAATGAGCAGCCACCACCATGCTTTACTGTTGGCACATTCATTGTTGGGGGTTTTAAGCATTGAAGAACAATCAGCCAGACTATTCTCCTTTGGAACAATCTTCTCTAAACTTGACGGCTTCAGGTACAGAAGGAATACAGGAGATTTTTCTCACAGACCTAAACCCATACTTAAAAAGTTTCAGCTCCTGTCACATCTCTTTACACTCTCTATCCTTTCTTGTCCATTAAGTTTAGAAAATAGTTATATTTTAGAGGTTTGATGTCGTCCCACAGCTACATTTAATCATGCATGTCATCACTGTGCCATTGTGTAAACTTGATGCGGCCAAATTATTCGTACACTGCTGACGGATTCCTTTTGTACACCAAGATCCTTTGGATGCGTCTCTCTTTGACATGGAAATGCTAAAGGCTGGAAAAACTCCAACTATCAGGAGGACTGTTCAAGGACAGCAGAACATCATTTCAGGTCAATCAGATTCACTGTAGTTGGTGTGAACAGAAGAAAATAAAAAAAGGAAAACAATTAAAAGTGTTTTGTTTTTTCAAAGCCATTATGTTTAAGGCATTAAACCTATGCAACCAGGATGATGCACCTTTATTTTTTTCTTCTTTCCCTCCCTTTTAGCATGTAGAGTGAATACCCATACCTGCTACTTGTACTTATGTTGTTAAGAACTGAAATATCTTCACACAATACACTGTAACCACCAACTCAATGCTTCAGAGGACTAACAATCTAGAGCCGCGTTAAGAAAGTTGGATTTTTTGACAAGGACAAGACTGCAAAGGATCTCCTTCAACAATAAAGAGCATTAAAAAAAAAAACTATGGCTGGAATGAAAAATATCAGAGCTGAATGAAAACTAGTGAAACTCATTAAGCAGTATTTGACAGAATTAGCATTGCTTGCGTTGTTTACATGTTTCAGAACACCCCTGACATTTTTCAAGCTTCTAAATTCAATCATAATTCCAGAAATTGCTGGCTTGTTCAATGTGAAGCTGGGCGGCAGATAGCGAGAGAAAAGACAACAACAACACCAACCGAGTCTGTTAGACAGATGGTGCAAAATCAAACATTTGACTTTTTTGCTGTCAGAAAGGTCAGAAATTAACCAGTAAAACAGAATCTAGTAAAGAAACAAAGTATGATTTATAGATAGAGCTGACAAAACCTTTTTTTTTAGGTCTAGAAAAAACTAACAGCATGGAGAGAAGTGCATCATGAAATAAAGATGGAATAAAAAACGAACTAGGAATTTTAGATGGTGGTTTAAGGCACCACTCAAGGTAACGCTTCACGTAGAGGTTGGGAGAAAACCATCAGAGCGGATCACTTGTTTTCAGATTTAACAGTAGGAAGCTATGGTAGCTTGGAAAAATAATCACAACCCTTAAACTCCATCATATTTTTTTATTGTATAACAATAAACTGTGATATAATGTGATAGGATTTAAATAAAAGAAAAATACAAAGGGTTTCATAATTTCTGTGCCGATTGAAAATGTCAAGCTTATATGTTTGTGAACTATGATCCTACAAGTTCAGCCAGAGCTACAACAGAATGGCGTGGAGCCAAATGTTGGAATAATCCGGTCAAAGTCCTAAATCTGACCAAGATTCTCAAGCAAGGTTTAAAAAAGGCTTTTCACAGACCCTCTCCATCACCCTGACTAATCTCAGTTTATCTAGCAAAGCAAAAAATACAAAAGGTTCAATCTCTAGACACACAGCGCTACAAGATTTCTTTCTTAATGAAAAATGCTTGAGACCACATATCATTTTCCTTCAAGATCAAATAAATGGAATACCATGCACTTCAAACAAGGGCTCACTAATAGTGACAGGATTCTGTAAAGATATATCCTTGCTCTCTTTCTACTCTTTAGCTTTAGTGTCATTGGATCCTTCATTAGTGTCACTGGTGCACTGGATCAGGAATGGTGCAAAAGCAGAACAGCAGCATGCATTTTTATATAAACTTAGCAAAACTGTAAAAAAAAAAAAAAAAGTACACAAACAAACCCTTCCTTGCACATTGTGAAATAATTGAAAACTGTCTTTATTGCACTTGGGGGGAAAAAAGCACTGCTTAGTATTTTTTGGGGGGGTGGAAAGAAAATCTTGAGAAAAACAGATCAAGACTTTTCACAGCTGCAAGGCCTTTTAAACTTTTGAGTATCAAAGACGATCTTTGCTCCTCTTTCTGTGACAAGTTGCCAAGAAGCTGCACTGTTCTGTAACTGTGGAAACCGGTGCCTCTTTACAGCCTCACAACTGAAGCCAGGCAGCACACAATGCTACAGTAAAGCACAGAGGGGTGGGGGGGAAGCATCGCAGGTACGTATGTGCTAATGAATACTAACGAACGTGACACACGAGACCACCCGTGATTAAAGAAAAGGTCAGCTCTGCACATTTCCTTCAAGATCACCTGAACCGTGCAGAACACTCTCCTGGCTTTAAACCTTGGCCTTATAAAGAGCAATCAAGTTATCAACGTAATTGAAAAGGTAAGCGTCACCCTGAATGAGATGGAGCCCCATGTCCTTGAAAATTAATAAATGAATGCATCAGCCATGGAGCCTGGCTGAACGCCACACAGTATAGGAAAACAGCGAGGGAGTGGCGGCGCATCCCGGCTGGCTGTCCGCTCCTCCCCACCAGCCCATGTGACACAGTTCCAACAGGGAATAATCCTGCATTTTGATGACAGACATACCAGACCGGATCAGTTGGATTCCATGTTGACTGCCTGCAGTGATTACCTGCAGCAGCTGAAATATGGAGGCCCAAGAGTGCCAAAAAAATGAAGGACGATCGTTCCTATAAATATAATAATCTAAGCTCTATATAAAAATACACATTCCAATTTCAAAGTTTAATAGGCCAATAATTGTAATAGCTAAATGTTTGACATGGGATCAGTTTATAAAGCAGCATAGTGGTTTTATTTTATAAGGTTGACAACAACAGAAAACTAAGTTGATATTCGGCTCATTTCGACTATGAAACTGTTTTCTATTGTTGTATTTTCATTAAATAACAGAGATAATATAAAAGTATAATTACTCATATAATAATAAAAGTGTGTTTTTGCGATCATTTTTTAAACCAACAGTGTGAATTATGAAATAAACACACTGCTCTAATGGGCCCCATCATCGTCCAAATATGTCTAGTCTTCGTTTTAAAGCGTAGTCAGGACCAGTTGCAGATAAAAAAATAAAGAAAACTTTCTATAAGCCCCCCCATAAAAAAGAAAAAAAATAGAAGCACGAAAACTTTATAATGAAAAATGTGAATATTTTTCGAATTTGACGCGTACCCATTTAGCAAATTTAAATCCGTAATTGCAATATGCGCAATTTGCCGGCCAATATAAACGCAACTACTGACGATTAGTTACTGCACAGCTTATCTCATTTATTTATCAAGCCACATAAATGATTTAAACCCCTTTAATGATGTAAAAAAGCATGTAAGGCTTGCAGAATGCAAAATAAATGAAATTATACCCAATTGTTGCAGCTGTCAAAAGATTAAACAAGCTTTTTTTATTTAATCCCCCCATCCCTCCTTACATTAACTGTCTTTACAATCAATTTATTCATCCACATCATTTTTGGCACTTTTAGTCCTCCACAGAGCTTCATTCAAACCATATTCCTGCAGTAAAGCAGCACCAGATCAACCACATCGACCTTATTTAATGAAGTTTGGATTGATCTGCAAACGTGGCTCTGGTGGAACAGGTGAGGCTCGAATCTTCCAGCCTAAAACAAAGTTTGACCTGCAGTTTAAAGGCTCCACGCACGCAAACAGCAGCCTGCGGTCAACAACCACAGTTGCACAACCAGCAGAAGATGCAGTCAGACCAGTCCGGTTCCACGGTTCAACACCATAACTGTCAAGGTCCCACGGATATTCCGCTCTGCACTCCTCAGATCACTATTGTCATTGTGCAAAGATGCAGAAATTCCATTCACGGTTCACCAAGAGAAATATGAAGTCCAAAAAAAACTTATTCCTGTTTTGAGTAAGTTGCGCAAATATGCGCCATTTTTAGGAATATAAGTGAATAGAAGCATTTGGAGTCCCTCGTGGGGGAAATTCAGGAAAAACTTTTTTATGTTTAAATAAAAAACTGTCTCGATCTAAACATCTTTATTGGCTTGCTGTCATTTGCAAACCGCTCCGAACAGCTTTACTTACCATGGATCAAACTCGTGGATGATGCTCTCGAAGCGGATCACAGCGAAAAGTCTGGAGCTGAATCCAGCGAGGCAGGCCAGAAACAGAATACTGAAGGAGAGTAGAGACTGCCACCCGGCCGGCTGTGTCAGCCCGCCAGAGAGGCCTCCTTTGCCCCCTGCTCCTCCGCCTCCAGCGCCCGCTCGGCTGTTCCCGTGGACCGAGCTCCCGGAATTACTGGACGCTTTGTGCTTGCCGTCGCTGGCTGCGTGGTGCTCCGCCATTTCTGCGTGGTATTTCGGTCGGATTCAGACAGACAGCGTCCGTCCCCCCACTTCTCCTCCTCCTCCTCCTCCTGCCGTGCTCCCGAGTCTCCCTCCGCTCCGTACCCGCTGTAAACTCTCCCCGGTCTTCCCCGCTGGAGGTTCCTCTCTCTGCAGCTCTCCCGGTGTGTGTTTGAACGTATTTTCAGCTGAAATCGCAGCCCTTATGTCCCTGCCCGCATAGTCCTGCGCCACAGAGGAAGAGCCGCTCGTTCAATCCGCTTCACGACTGAACGCCGGTGGGAAGAGGCGGGAGGGATGAGGTGGGCGGAGCATCCGGGAGCACTTGTGGCCTTTCAGAGATCGACAGGTACGCGGGGGTGGGGTTCCAGGCGTATGCACCAATAGAAAATAGAATTAGCTAGGATTGACAAGTCACTTCACCAATCGGTAAAGAGATAAATCATGGCCAGAAGTGATTGAAAAAAACCGATCATCTGCTGCATAGAAAGGCTAAATAAATACAAAATTTCATGCTTTAAATTGTGTCTTGACTTTTTGAGTACTTAATATTCCTGTTTTTTTTTATTAGATATGGGTATTTAAAAAATACAGCTATATTTATACGTTACAATTTAGACCAAAAAATAAGTCACCAAATGGAATAAGTAAATGCATAGTCAAGTATTTCTCATCATAAAATTATAATGTATCTTCCCAGAAGTTGTAGTCATTTTTCTTCTCCAAAAGCATTTTACAGACAGGCTATACCTTATTGAAAATGTATTATATTTCTCCATATGGTGTTGGTTCAACTCTACCACCTTGTGGAATAGTAACTGCCTTCATCATATTGTAAAAGTGTGTTCAAAGATTACTGATGTTTCTGTTCCCCACCTGGGCATTTTGTATGAGCAGCAGAGTATAGCTCTCTTATTCTAAATGGTTAAGCGTAAGCTTTGTTTACAGGGTTTAGAAGTTGCAATATGGCTGCAGGCTTCACTACCGGCTTGTAAAACCCAGAGAAGCAGAGGAACCTTTGTCCCCAATGCATTACTGATTCTGAGCGGTTTTATAACAAATATCTAATGAGAATATCAGAGTATTTCCTATGTCCATTATCATAATATTGTCATCAGATCTGTTGTTCGCTTATTGCATCGTCTGTATCTATTTATGCTTACTCTTAGCCTATTCAATTGCCTCTGTGGGATCAACAAAGGGATTCTGTTCTATTCTTTTCTACTGCAGCGATCACTATGTTTCAGTTGGCATCTAGTTCCGGGCATCTAAGTGATGCAGTTAGTTGCTTCTCCTTTCCCCACCAACCATGTCAGAAGGCACGTCCTGTGGTTGCTCAAAGGAAGTATGCCTGATTCAGATGAGAGCTCTTTGCTTGCATCAACTAAAGAGAATTCACAGAGATTGCTGAAACTACAACCGCTCAGTTAATTTGTGTCCAAATAGAAGGACACCAAGGAAACATCACCTTTGCGGAATAAATTGGGCAGGAAAAAAAAAGTCTGAAATGATTATTAGCAGGGATCACTTAAACTTTTGTTGAGATCAAACTCCATAAATTCAATGGCAGAACTCGTGGCCATGACGATAAATTGAGAGTAAGAGCAATTCCACACACACATTATGAAATGAACTGACTGGACTGGGTCCAAACAACTATGCAGCCCTAAGAAAATCGCTGATTAATGAGGTTTATTTAAAATAAAAAGGTTATATTTGCTTGTGAGCATGAAGATTAGACTTTGAAGCAAAAGCAGAAGGTATTCTGGTTGGATTAGTCCAGATTACCCCTCCTCCTCGTGCAGAAGACGATGCACCCATCATGCTAAGTGCTTACTGCATAATAGCACAGCTATAAGCATATTTTGAGCACATAACATTGCTGAAACTACATTTGAGTTAATCAGCCTACCCAAATATACTGAATGATACACAATTCATGTTTTTCTTCCCTGATGGCATAGGTATATGCAAAAATAGCAATTCCAGAATTTCTTAAGCTCAGTTCATGCAACACCTGTTTAAGTTTCACATACCAATTTGACTCCATGAGTCCTTCCACCTTATGAATCTAGAAAATATAGGAGAAAAAATGTACAGTCATCTATATGCAGTTAATTAATTGATTTTATTTATTTTTAAAGCACATGTAAATAAATATAGCGAGACAAGAGATGCTGTTTTTCTTTGTTTTCTTTATTTGGTGGAACCTCAAGACTGAAAGCAATAAAGAATTTAGATTTTTTTTTTATGCAATGGCATGAACTGAAAGCACAGATGGGGTTTCCCACTGATGCCTTGGTTGCAAATTTGTGCTTGACATGTAAAGTTTGGCATGCTATTTGGAGAATTTCATCACCGCTAGTAAAAGTTATCTACCTCTATATTGTAACTTCACAGGGAATTTAAGTTTATCTATTATGTAATTTGCAGCGTTAGTAGTTATACGGTGGCCACAGATCTTTATTTACCCCGCAAACATGTCCAAACTTCCAATGCAGCAAACACACACATACCAGTAGTCTTATTTGCAGGGAAGCTTTTTATCTATAAATATGGGTGAGATGAGATCCATACAAGCGACCGTCTTATCGTTGCGTCCCTGCACCTCCTCGTAGAGAAATGGGTTCATGCATGCTCCCTTTTAATAGGCATTCCCTCTCAGGAGCAGGTAGTGGAGACGGTGAAACTTTCAAAAATTCACGAAAATCCTCCACTATACCTTTAAGCAGAAATTTGAGTTTTTACTTTCAGCAGTGGTCCTATAAAGGCAGGCAAAGACAAATAGATCTTATATCATCTTTATAATATTTGTTTTCAAAATGTATTGTATTAAAAATGTCATATTATTGTAAATTGTAACATACTTTTGTTTAGAAATACTAGTTATACCTAAAGCTCCACTAGAGACAAAAGTTATTTAGTGTTAGCTGATGTTAGCAGCCTGTAAGTTGCTCTTTATGTAATAAAACAGAGTTTGACTGCAATGTCAATAAAACTTCGTTTTATTTTTATTCTATGATTGTTTTAATCCTTGTTTTAATGCCTTGATAAAGTATTTAAGACTGAGAATATATATTTTTAGCTTATTTGCTTATTTTTATTAAGTCTGCTTTCTCATAAATAGCTACGTGTGTTTTTTAACACATACACGGATGTGTTAGACCTATTAAAACTTTATACCTACAACTGAAACAAATCTCACCGATTTTAATATACTTTCTAATCCGAAGGATAATAAAGTCCACAGAGCTCATCATCCTCCAAATATCAGTTGCCTTTCTGTTGACATCAATAGGCAGGTGGGTGAAGATGAATTGCCTCAGTGAGAGCAATATTTCTGTTGCTCATGGATGTTCAGGAGTGTTGAAGAGGTAAGAAAGACTGATGCGTTTCATCATTCTGTGTCCCACAGCAAAGACAACAACCCCATCATTCATCAATCCTAGGAAGCTTTTATTGAGCTCAAACATTTTTTTTTCTAACATTTCAAATAATCACCTTATTAAAGCAACTGTCCAGACTTTTCTATACCATTCAAACTCATGGTAGATAACTGAGATGGTCTATAGAGCATGACATTCTCAGTTTTGTTTTTATTTCTTTTGCTAGTTTGTTTTGAATAACTTAATAAAGATACTATTTATGCTCCTTTTGCTATTTCATATGCCTCCAGGCACTGGCTTAGATCTAAGCCAGTGTTTCCCAACCTTTTTTGGCTTGTGCTCCCCTTTGGGTATTTTGTCTTACCATGACTACCCCTCTCAGTCAACAGTATTGATGATTGTCTAAAAGTACAATAACTGTTTATAAAATAAAAGCTATTTTACTTAATCTTGTAATTTGATCATTACAACTTAGGTATTTTATGTTTTCCATCGCAAATAAAAAAACATAAATATGTTGCCTGGAAGTTAGTAAGGAATCAAAATAAAAACAAATTAAAATCATATGATAAACCTTTGATGAGCTCCAATAGTTCAGCGAGAAAAACAGCTGATCCCAGGCTGTTCTCTACATCCAGTCTGCTCCTCTGCTTGGTTTGGATGTGTGTCAAAGCTGAAGGTGAACTCAAACATAAGAAAAACTTTTTGGTTGATAAAAGCTTGTTAATTTTTTTAATTGGGCAGCCCTATTGTGTTTTACTACCTAAGAAATTTGAATCCTTTCATGTCCCCCTTGCAATACACTCGCAGACCACTGGAGGTAAGCGTACCCCTGGTTGGGAATCACTGCTCTAAGCTATCAGGGAGGGAATACAGCTTTCCATTCTTTTATGTGTGCTGAATTTGCATAGAAACCCTTCAGTCTGAAAGACTTGAAAAAGGATAAACACATTTTTACCTGCAAAGATCTGAAAATGTGTATCTAACTTTAATGCAAGCTGAGTGCATAAGAATTTCTGAGGAAATCTATTTAAAGTGTATATCTGATATAATGTTTCCTAGAATAATTTTGCAATTCTAGTGCATCACATAACCATGAAGCCCTGAAACATTTCAGATTTATCAGATCTATGATTAAGTCCCAACAGAAATAAGAACTTTATTCCCACCTTCTAACGTTGCCTTCAAAGGGCCTTTTTCAGGTCGAATGTTCCGGGGACACTGTTGCTAAACTAATGATACCTCCTATAAAACCTTTTAGCATTTTTTCATCATATACACAAACATTTTATGTAATAAACAATTGGCATGCATCTGCGTTAAGATCACTTTACCCCAACACTGCCCATATATAAAACCCTGCATTCAGTTGCCTTCATTAGTTCTTCTTGGTATAAATCTAGCTGTTCTGAGAAGGCCTCAAAGGTTTTTTTTAGATAGCAGATTTTTTTAAAAAGCATCATGACAACCAAGAAACACAGCAAACCGGTCAAGTAAGGAGAGCGGAAAGCAGGGTTAGATCATAAAACAATATTCTAAGCTTAAAGCATCTCACAGATTACTGTTGGTTCCATCATCTGAGGACAGATTATTACATAACTGCAAAACATTGCAGAGAAACTTTGATTAATAGTCCTGCGTGGAGAAATAAATGAAAGAATGTACATTTTCAGTCATTTTGCCAATTTTTCAAATGGGAAACATCACGTTGGCAGCAGGTGTGGTGTGGGGAATCTCTCCCCCAGCATGGACATGTAAAAGCATATGAAATCACTGTAAACCCTGTTAGATTCAATAGAAGGCGTAAGACTGAGATGCCATAGAGTACAACTGCAGGTGCATGGTTTATATCAAAGCATACTGATCCTTTAGAATGGCCTAGTCAAAGTGTAAAGCTAAATTCAGCTG